GTTTCGGGTTTCTGGGTTAAGGGTTTAGGGATGGAGTGATTTTGACGGAGGGTTCTGATCAACAAGAGATTCTCGATGAGGCCTGCGTTGTGCATGGCATAGTTGAGGCTGAAGGCCATTGGCCGTTCCTCCTCAGTGGTGAGCCGCTTCAGGGCCACCAAAAAAACCTCAGGGGCACCAGGGTGTTTGAGTCACGAGCTGCCGGAAACCGAGAGACGTTCCCCTGCGACCGTGTTGCCGGGAGCAGCAGGCCCTCCGCTACCGGCGAAAAGACGAGTAGAGCCAACCTGAGACTGCGATCCACTCGATTTCGGGCAATTAGGGTGGCCCCCGGAGGTTCTTTGGGCGGCCGGGCTGGAAGGTGTCCGCGCTTTCTGCCAGCACCAGCATTGCACGGGTCACGAACATGGCCACCTCGGCGTGTCAACTGCAAGACAGGGCTTGCGCATCTTGATGTCTGAGAGCAGCGCCGTGGCAAAGACTGCCATCCTCTTCGAGCCGACCGCATCCTTAAGAATCTTAAGAAGGGCTCCCCTCAAGGTAGCTCCACAACGTACGACGGCTTGCCACGTCGGCACTCCTTTATGTTTTTCCCTGGGACAGCATTCAACCTCTCACGTTTCGCAAGTCGTACCGTGCAGCAGCCAAGAGTCAATTGCGAACATCCCGCCAAGGCCCGTCCACAAGGAGGACCTTCCGAGAACTCGGGGGGGGGGGGGGGGGCTTTACGGCTTATATAGGTCTTGGGATTTGGCTTGGATTTCTTAGTCCAAGTTGTGGTTTTGGGGTCTAAGATCTTAGGGGGTACAGTAGTGGCTAAAGTCCCCTTCAGCTAGGCGGCAGGATGCCCCACCAGCCGTACAAGGTTCCTGCTTCCTTGTCGCTGAAGCCGAACTCGTCGGTGGCATATAGCACCAACCTGAGACCGATCAAGACAAATGCGAGCCATCAAGCATCATCAAGCAGAATCCGCCATCCGTGGCCCGGAAGCAGAACTGCCATGACGTGGTAAGCAAAAGAGGCGAAGAAATTCAGGAAAAAGGTCCTCAACAGTGAGCGCAAGAGCAGGCCACATGCTCACACATGCTTTCTCTGACAGTTTTCCCGGTTCTCCAGTCCAAGACTCATCCACACGCCCAGTCGGAAGCGCGGACAGCACCCCATGGTGTCTGAGCCCCAGCGCCATATGGGGCACTGCAAGCGAGGTGCTTCAAAGGCCCACTGGGACGCTTAGAGGGGACTCTGCAGTGCTCTGCAATAAAATAGGTCAGGTCAGCAATCAAGGGGAGGGGTTCAAGTCATGCAAAAAATGCTCTGAGCTCTGTCGTTTTTGCCACTGCAAGTAAGGGATCCGAGCTGGGACTGACAGCCATGGGAGGAGCAGAGCCAGTCTCTGCGGCCGAAGGTCCAAAGAAGCAGACAAAAAGCCAGAACTGAGAGCAAGAGAGTACCGTCCCCTCCAGGGACTCCGCCCATCGTTCCTCCTGACGTAGTACTTGGTGATTGGAGACCCTCCGTCGTCGGTCGGGGCCGTCCAGGACCTGAACAGCAAGCGGAAGAAGACCGGGAATACGACGCGAGGTCCAAAATGAGGTCGGCGCAGCGCCACGGTGCTGTGCGAGCCGCCCGTGCGCACCAGGTTCGTGGGTGCCGCCGGAGAGGCCTAGCAAGATCCGAACTCCGAAAGCTCAACAAAGCAGATCCCACGTCGGCTTCACCGGGGGCCCAACCGCGGCAATCACCGAGATGTCGGAGCTGGCACCGGTGAAGGAAGCCTCGGAAGCTTCCCGCACTTCGTCCAGGCGTGGCCGGCTTGTGGCGGTGCATGGAAGAATGAACAAAGACATAGATGTCCCGTACAGGACACAGGAAGAGTGAGCTTAAAACCGGAATCGAAAGAATCTGGAATACACCTGAATACACTATACTACGCCACACATTTGTGGCTCAACATATCCATGCATCGCACAGGCGTGTGTGTTTGTGTGAATATGTGTATGCGTGTGAATGTATGCATATGCAGCTATGCATGTGTTTTCTTCTTCGAATTACTATCTCTGTCTGTCGATGTAAATGCTTAGCTTTCTTCGTTCACTGCCACACTGTACTTACGATACTGAGTCTGTGTATGTAAGCGGGCTTACGGTTTTTAGGGGTACATGTCCCGTACACGGCATAGGAAGGAGCGGTGATACAGCGAAATAATGCACATAAAACCGAACTCTAGGGGAGTACAGCATGAGTACGCTGCATGCTTGTGGGTCAACATATGCATGCATTGCATGTGTGTACACTGCTTCCCCATATACCTACACTCAAGATATCGACGCCGCAGCGAATTGCCACACATTCGCTGCTCCCCAAAAGGGGGGGGTAAAGTCTCACTGATACAGTCCGAGCTGTCTATGGCTTTGGCGGAGACCTGGGTCTTGAAGTTGTCGGCGATGACCCGGAAGACGAGAGCCACGTCCGCTGCGGAAGGCCTCCAGTAAAGCCAAGGATCTGCTAAGGGCCATGGAAAGTCTAAGTCCGGTGTATCGGCCCCCTGGCACGTAGTTGAAGGTGGTCTGCAGCACGGAGGTGGTCGAACCCACCTACGTACCCACGCAGGAGCCACTGATCAAGAGGGGGCGTTTGGGAAGGCCTTGGCCATGGTCGCCACGGAGGTACCGGCCAAGACCTGTGCAGACGACTTTACTCCGAGCTCCGCTCGGGAAGCACGAAGCACCCCTGCTTCCCTTCCCACCTGAAAGCCCCAAGTCCCGAAGCTCTCTTATCAATCAAAGGATGGTGGCTTCTTTTTGGCGTGTCGGCTCTGCTCGGCCCTGTCCTAGCACTTTCGGCTTCTGCCGAGGCACAATGTAGCCCAAAATCGGGCATGCTCCTGTCTCGGTTGGAGGCTCCCAGCCGAGTTGGACCAGCGTGCCTCTGGGCAAGGCAAGGCTTCGGCGCTGCTCGTCGCACAGTGGTCCGCTCTTTGTGACGTAGCGGGTAGCGCCTACAGCAACCACACATGTAAACATACTTAAGGACCCCGATATATGGAATCAGGTCAGCAACCCTAGACCCCGCGTCTCATGCGACCCTGCCTGACCGCTGCAGCACGCGAAGGTTGCCAACGGCACCTCGCCGGAGGGGCAGTAGAGTGAACAGAGCAGCTTGAAGGCTTCAAGGCCATCGGAAGCCCGTGCAGTCCGTGCAGTGCCTGGCTCGTTGCAGGGGGCCACTTCGATGGCCTCAAAAGCTCAAGCTTCCATGGTTGCGCTGCCGCAGGTTCTCCCCCCCCAACTCCGGGGCAGAGATCGCGAGCTCAGGCAGCGGCAGCCACGGTGCCTTCGCCCTTGGCCGTGAAGGCCTTCACCTTTTGAAAAAGTATGCCCCGCAAGAGAGAGACTTCAGAGAGTCCCTTAGTAGGAGCCCCGAAAAGAGGCCCAGCGCCTCCGCCTTGTAGGTATACCCACTGGCCAAGCCGACCTTCTGGAAGACTTGCCTCGAAAGGGGATATAGAGGGCAGGGGCACTCAAAAGGTTCCTTCGGAGTCCGTTGCGCCAGCTAGCAGTAGGGCTGTGGCGCTGTGCCAGAGTATTCCTCTACCATGGGCCCACCAAGAGCATCGTCCATGAAGACCTGACAGTATCTGACTTCAGCCATGGCAAGAGATCTTACGGCAAAAGAGCCTCTTTTTTTGTAGATCCCGCACAAGAACCGCCATCCTTGGCCACGCCTTGTAACCCAGAATGGGCATTCCTCCAGTGTCGCTGGGCGGGTCCCAGGACAGGGTCACGGAGATCAGCGTCGAAGCCTCACACCGCCAGCTTTGCAGCCCGTTGTGCGGGACGGGCGCTGAGGTGGCTGAGGTGGCGACTGCCAGCGCCAGGTTCACAGGTGCCGTCGGGTAGGTGGCAGAGTAGTAGATCTGGCAGCCAAGGCTACGCAGCTACGTGAGAATGTGGGGTGAAGGATGGTGCAAAGAGAGAAGCTCTGCAGAAACAACGGATGGCCTGATTGCGTATGCATCCCACGTAGATCTCAAATTTATGACGAAGAGAGCAACACAAACACACTCCGACCCAAACCCCTGAGCCAGGGATACCGAGGTGTCGCTGCGGGTACCGGCGAGCGAGTGGGACTCTGCCTGGCGAAGGCAATGCACACCGCGCCTCCGCCCCCTTCCGCAGTCCAATCGCTCCGAAAACACAGGGGGGCCATTAGTTTTGATGGGCACTCTCCCTTACAAAAAACAGACAGTGGATGCAACAAGTTGCTATTGCTGCGCGCTCTCCCGTAAGAACAGAAAGTGGATATGCAGCTATCTGATAAACCAGGGCCATGCCGACCATGGTGTTCACCACCGCCACCTCGGACAAGTCTCAAGCTTGGCAAGTGTGGACCATGCTGACATTTCATGGGGTCGGAACTTCGATCTGTAGGGATGCGCCAGTCAAGAAGGTGATGACATCCGACTTTGTGCCTGACACGCGTCTGACATAGCAAGCCCCGACTACACCCCCCCCTGCATCGTTTTCTCAATCTTCGTGGAGCCGTGCATCTGGTGAATTTCTGTTGCGATCAATCTAAGCATGTCAAACGCACATGCATCAGATCTTGTTGCTGACGCCTGCGGTGATAATCGCATAATCGTTCCACAAAATTTGGAAGTTCAATGGCGAGCTTCTGGTGCCTTGGCCCTGGCCGTACTACAGCCTGCATGGCCCACCCGGCCCGAGCGCCTCATGCGCGGCTCACCGGCTCTGGTCGCATCTCCTGAGCCTCAACCAAGGCTCTGAGCATGCCCAGGCGATCGTCTTCTTCTGTGAGGTGCGCCAGACGCCCGATCAGCCACTTCTCCGGGCCTTGGAAAATGAGGAACCGCTATTTTGCCCCTCCATCCTAGAGGCTCCATCCGAGCCACAGTCGGAACCCCCCGAAACCGAGGCCAAGGGGCTGCGGCCCTCGAAGTGCTGCGTCTTCACACGGCCCTTCATCTTGATGGCCTGCTCGCCCAGCCGGCGCACCACCTTCACGCGGTCCTCCTGCTGCCAATCCATGCGGATGACTTTCGTCGCTTCCTGCGCAAGCCTCCGATATCAACACTGTATATCGCATCAGAAAATACATCCGCATTGCAGTGCAGGCATCTGCAGGCTGATGCGCAGATGCAGTCGGACGCGCCTTTGGAACATCGTGTCCCGCTCAAGCGCCCGTCGAGCTGCGCTGTCGCGGCGCCGCTGGCCACGGCTGCAGCTCAAGGCGTGGTGGCTCGGATGATGGCAGTACCTGCAGCCGCCGAGCTGCCAGTGCTTGCACTTCCCCTGCTTGTTGCAAGGCCTCCAAAGGCAGAAAGAAAAGCAGAGAGGGAAGCAAGGTCCGGTCCCCTAGCTCCCCCTTAGCTAGCGCCGGGCCTGCAGTTCGGATGCCGCGCGTCCCCGAAGTTTTCGGGGTAGTGTTTGGGCCCCTGGGAGCTGTCGGCCTGGGCCTCGGGGAGCTGGAGCTGCGGAAGGAGAGGCGAGAGAGGCGTCAGAGGCGTCGTACTCCTTGGGCTTCCGGCCGCCGTGGTGCTCGGGGTCGGGAACTCCTCCAAGAGAAGCACCGGGATTGCCGGTGCTGCGAGGACCCACGTTGAAGAGAAATATCCGGGTTCAGGCGGGCAAAGTCGAGGTTGGGTCTGCCAGAAGATCTCATCATCGGTTGTGATCTCCTCCTCTGCATCCTTCTCTTCCTTCTGGCTCAACTCAGTCAACTCGCTTTCTGAGTCGCACCGTGCCATGTCAAGTCTGCGCAGCCGGCTGGGGGGCTACGAACTAGCTGCCAGCAACCTTGAGAGGGAAGGCGGAACGGCGTAAGCCCGGGGGGCCCAAAGCAAGCAGCATGCACATCCAGATCATAACCGGCACCAAGTATTCATGAGGCTTCCACGTGCCTGTGCCACTCCATGCAAGCTTGTCAATCGGGCCCGCATCCAGGCCATCGCGATACCAAACCTTCGAGCAAACATAGACAAACTGCCGTGATGCTGCTTGATCTTCGGTTTAGAGATGTTTAGAGGGCTCATGCGGTGGGCCATGCCTCGTAGCGGATGATGGGAGACCCGCCGTCGTCGGACGGTGCTGTCCAGCTCACTACAGTCTGCGTGCCTCAGTGCTTAAGCAACGGTGCCGCAGTCCACAGAAAGAAGCACTTTGCTTGGGGTCCATGCGGGAGTCGTGCGTGAAGGTCACGGCCGTGGGCTTACCAGGGAGCCCAGCCGCCAACATCGTGGCCTCGGCACATCCACTGTCTCCACTCGAAGCCCTCAACACGGACAGGCAACTTGTCGAGGCACGGTGTCCGAGCGTGGGCTTTCTCCGGCATTGTTCACCGCCGACACCTGGAAGTGGTACCTCTCAGCTGACGTCTACGTAACCGCGACGCCAAGCTGCTGCACAGTTGAGCTATCAACCAGCAGACTAACGGACCACGCCTTTCATGAACTGCGAGGCTTTCACCAAGCTTGAAACTCAGGCAGCATCAGCCGCATTGAGTTCTTCGTGCTAGCGACGCAGCGTTTTTGATTCGGATTCCTTTCAAGCTGCAATGTGCCCTACAGGCTATAGGCTTCATCACGATGCGATACCGTGTCGTGCACTCCACAGATGTATCTGCATTTTAGTGTGTTGGATTTGCCGGCGTGCGTAAGGCGTAAGGACACCTCCTGGGGACTGCTATGCCGGACAGGTGTTTGTTTACGGAGCTTAGCAAACACAGACGCTCCAGTAACGATTTCAAAGCGCAACCCCTGCATTCCCCAAGTGCACCTTACCTTTCCCACGGACAAATCAGTGGTGAGGGATGGAGAAAGCCATAGCAGCAGAAGATGAGCCAATCAACGAATTGATTTTATTCCTGCAAAGGGCAAAATTATTGGCAAGTGCTGGGCAGTAAGATGCATGTGGGCAGTGCGGTATTGCGTGTGCGCTTTTCTCCGAGAGCGATCTGGGGTTTGTTCCAAACGCGTGCGACTTCTCCAAATGCGAACGGTTTTTACCTGGCCATGCAAACAGCTAAACGACTATTGAGTCCCAACATGATTGCAGAATGCAGGTGTCGATTTCCAAAAGGTAGCGATTCTAACTGGCCATGCAAACAGCTAAGTGATTATTTAGGAACAATCAAAAGTCTTAGCACCCTTAGCATGCCTTGAACCCGAAACCTTGCAGAATGCGGGCGCCGATTTCCAAATGCCAGCGATTCCAGCAACTACGATGGGGCGATGGTTGTGGTTCTCAAGCCCCTAAGAGGAGAAGCCGAACATTTCCGGCAACCTGGTGGAAACATTGCCCGCAGGATATCAAGAGCGTGTCGCGCATGGATCGTAGAGAGTCGGAAGGGTTGCCGAATGTTGCCGACCTTTTGAGTTTCGCCGGTGCGACTGCGTCGATGGTTTGATAGCTCTGAGGTGTACGATAGATCGTGGAGCAGATGTCGAAAGACAACCAGGGTGCGTGTGCCGCACGTCGGCCGCAGCCTCTGTAGTGCCCTAAGCCCAGCTTCGCAGTCCCCGCCTTAGATTCAAACATTCGGGCAAACATCTCTGCCCTAACGGCGAGGACGCAACTCCCGCAGCCCAAAAGTTCACCTACTCAGATGAACAACCACCTTTTCTGATAGCCAACAGTGCCCGATGCTGTTTCGAGGACGTTGTTTGGCATGTCCAGTTCCATGCGCGCAGACGTGGTTCTGACACGACCTTCAACCAGTTGTTGCTCGAACGGGGGATGCGATGGCTGCCGGGTCAAAAAAGAAAGTCTCGTCGCACCGCAGACAATCCATCCACTCTTCGTTTTTGACTTGCCTTATCATGTACTTGCTCTTTTCCTCACATCCAATGCCTCTTGGTGCTCGCTCGAGCGAGCCTCTGAGATGCGTTGCTGCTTAAGTTTGACCTTCCTTCATGAGAGGCACGATGACTACGCAAGCGAGCAGGAACACCAACAATCCGAGGACGGCCCAATCCAGCGTGAAACCGACGGGCGTCTGGCACCGAACCAGGTGCGTGTGACAGGTAGTGGTGATTCCATGGAATAGGCTCACAGGGTACATCGCAAGGTCTTCGGCAGCATGAGGCAACTGAACGAAAGGTGGACGCCACAGGCATTTTGGAGACATGACACAGTCCCTGTGAGTTTCGACATCTACTTGTGCAACGACTCACCGCAACCTGAACGCTAGTCGACTCTACAGCTCGGGAGGATAGCAGCTTCGGCAGATGTGTTCGAGGTGAGGTTGAAGAGCAGAAGACAGTGACAGTTGTTCACACCTTGCAGAGGCGCACGTGGAGCCGGTCATGAGCCCAGTGGACTCGTAGGACAAGGTAAAGCCTTCGTAGATGAGGCTGTAGGCAGCTCCATCCAGGGCCTGCGGCTGAGAAGCAGCCGAGGCTTGAAGTCGCTCTCGCTTCGAAGCTCACGGCCCGCCTGGTAGAGCCGGTAGGCGGTGATGGCCGATCCCATGCTATCAGGCGCCACCCACCTCAGAAAGCGCAAGGAACAATTTCGAAAGTTGGCGACCCTGCTCGAGTTGAGAGCCACAGGTCCTCCGACATATCTCGCTTTTTTCACATGGGCTCCGGCGCCAGCGTGATGGATGTTCGTGTGGACGTGGCCCTCGTGGGCGTGGCCATCCTGCGCTCCCGATTGGTCTACTCCGAAGATACTATAACAGTAACATTAAACGATAAACCGATGACTATACTACTGTGGCTCGGGGTTAAGGGTTTAGCGTGTTGCTTCTGGTCGTTCCACGGATCCAAATCCAGATGTCGAATCGCAGTTTCATCGGGCGGGACCAGGATCCGATTGGACTTCGAGAGAGGCTGTCGTGCTTTCGCTCTCTGGGCGCGCAGCTTGGCGGGCTCTGTGGCACACACGGTGCTGACCTTCAGGGAAGTTCTTCCCAACACGAGGAAAGACGTATTCCATGACGTTGTGCGCACGCCTCGCTGCCGTACTTGCCCCATCCGACGGCGTTGCGCGCACGGATCCGGAAGACCAGGTCCGCACCTCCGCAACGCAAGCGGATGTGCCAAGCTTGGCGCGAGAGAGAGAGAGAGCAGCTGGTCAGATGCCTTGTGTGCAGCCTTGCACCAGCATCGAGAAATCGCCAGCAGCATTGGTCGCCACCTGAACATCCCAATCATCCAAGCTGAAGTGGCAAGGGACCTACACCTGCCTGCCCTCCACCAAAATTTCCGAGCCCTGCTAGAAAGCATCAAATCTCCAACAGCAGGCCCGAAATGCCTGCTGACTAGGCTGGGTCTGAATGTCAGTAGACTCTGCTTCGGGCAGCAGCCTACGGGGGTGAAGGCCTGAACTCCCAGACAGGGCCTCGCTTCGGGGGGGAATCAGACAAGCATGGGCCAAACAACACGACAGGAAGGCTTGGAAAAGCAGAGGTCGGGGGATAAAGATGGTAAAAGGGCTGGGCCCCTAGCAGCTGGTGTGAGACATACTGTCCGAAAGGGGCCCCACTGCTTTGGGAGTCGCGTTCGTCCCGAACTCGTCGTCTTTAGAGCTGGGCTGCTAGGGCCCAGGGGGTAGGTGCGGCATGGTCGTCTCCGGTAGTATTGCTTTCCCGTCAAAAAACGGAAGCCGGCTACTGACGACAACGGAAGACCTTAAGGTGGACTTCCGATACTGATACTGAAAGCAGAACCGCCCCCGCAAAAAGCGTACTCCCCCTCCGAAACAGTGTCGAGAAAACCCGTACATCAGGAGAGCTTGTGCCTCGAAACCGCACCCTTGAAGTCCAGGCTCGGACATGACAGCTGTGAGATATGGGTCGACGCTGCCTAAACCGACTCTGGGAGAGAGGTTGGCGCACACTTCCGTGGCATCACAACCACGGGCATTTCTGTCCACTCGGCAAACTTCACCAACAGTCTGCAGGAGAGAGATCCGCCGAGGCCGGAGGCCCCAGGCGTTTAGATCAGTGGGTTCGGGGAGTTTGGGTGGTTGTAGGTTGAGTAGTAACCCACCCCCTGCCCCCTTCCAGTGGCGCGATTTGGGCGGGCATCCGCCAATCGGCTCCAATTTCGCTGCTGTTTTTGGGGGGGGAGGGAGGGCGCGGGGGGGAGGGGGGGGGGAGGGAGGGGAAAATTTTGGGGGAGGGGGGTGGGGGGGAGGGAGGGTTGTTTGAGATGGGGTGTTCATCCCTTCGCTCCCGAACCTAGCCTCGACTACCGTTGCCGAGGCGGCCTCGCGTTAGCGATAAAATTACCACTATGCTGCACAACAGTACTACACCGCACCATACTGTATATCATGCACTAAGCTACAAGAAGACTACATCAGAAGAAAAGGAGGTCTGGGCCGGGCTCCCGGCCACTGTCCAGCCCCCGGCTGCTTGGTTCATGGAGATCTCGTAGAGGTCCACCTTCGATTACACACACCATTTATGCCATATATTTCGGAGAGATGTCTCAGAAGCTCTGACTTTTCCTGCTTCTGATCCGAAATCCACGGGAAGTTTGGAGCTGACAGGCGCTCTTCGGAAGCAGGGAGATGACTCCAGAGATGACCCCGGGATTTCAGCCGCGGCGCTGCGATGCCGCCGTTCTCCAGGGAGGGCGGGAAGTCCACCTCGGCCGCAGCAACTTCAAAAACTCAAATCAAATCCTCCCCGTTTCGACCCAAGCCCGCGGCGATGACGTCGCCCAGAGCTGGGTACGCGAAGTAGATGCCACCTGAAAGGGCTCTCCGACAGCAGCCATCTGTTCAGATCTCGCACCCGGCACCTGGTGGATCCGGTGGTTGCGCCACGTGCCCGCAGGCAGCGTCACTCAGGCGGGGCCTCGAGATGGACCGTGTGAGATGGTCGTCACAGTTGTCACAAGCCCATGTGGCGACAGGTCCTGGTCCAGCCCCTTGTCTTCTACGCTCATGCTCGTAGAAGCATGGCCCTCAACAAATATCCTTGATACCCCCCTTGATCTCAATTAGGCTGCCCCAAGCAGGTGGCTGTTGGTCATCCAGCGCATTCGTCTCCGTGACGAAGTTCAGAGCCGCGACTTTGAAGCAGAAAGTGCCTTCGGACTCCAAGCGATTGAGGTGGTCACAGACTAGCGGTAGCGGGTTGAGAAAGGTCTGCAGGAAAAAGCCCAAGGTATCGTGTTGACATGGCTCTTTTCTGCTTGGAAGTGATGGGCCCGCGGGCTTTGCCCGCTTTGGGGCCAAGCTCTGAAGATCCGGCGTCATCAGGCATCTTTCTCGTCCAGGGGCTCAGGAGATGACGGTGCCACAGTGGGCCCGCGTTTCAACCTTTGGAGAACTCCGCGCCAACCATCTCCACCCTGCCATGGCCCATGGGAGATGAAGGAAGCAGAAGCTCAATAAGCTGCTCTCTCTCTCCAAACACAACGCCCCTCCTCCGGCCGTCGGCCTCAGCAATCGGAGGCCGACATCTTAGCCTCTTCGCATGTCTTGGGAGCGCAAGGATCCAAGCTGCGGACATCGGTGCTACTCGGACTCCGCTGATGGACCAAAGGCGAAGCATCCCAGGTTGTGTCCTTCGCAGCTGTAGCAATTCTGCGTCATCTTGCCTCACCTGGTAAATTAACAGGCATTGGAAAAAGGGTTGTGTTCGGAGGGTGTTATGTATGTAGGGCCTCTTCGTCCGCGTCCGCGCAGCTGTTGTAGATGCGGAAGAAGAGCCTCAGACTCTTAGGGAATACTCAGGGCCTCTGGCGACACAAAACGGATTTCGAAGCCAAGCGGCGGCGTGCAAATCAGAAAGACCGAGCACAGGACGAAGACCTGCCGGAGCGGCTTCCCGAGCTGCGCACTCTCGAGCCGTGCGTTCCCAGATGGCACCCTCTGCCATCTACTTCCATCTGGAGGTTAAGAGCACTCAGCTCGCCCCCTTCTTGATCGGGAACGCATGACTCACGCCTTGCAGTATCTCTCGATCAGGATCATCTTCTGCCTCGCTCTGAGGCATCTTCCCAGATTCAGGCGCGTGGGGATTGGTCCATTGGTTGCTGGCAGTCCGCCGTGGCATGCTAAGTCAAGTTGCTGTGATTGCCAGGATGGCCTAACCCGCGAAACCCCTAAAGCCAAAACGGCCCTTTAAACCCTAAACCCGTTGACCCTAAAGCCCTGATCGAACCCTTTTCAAGCTTTAAGCCATTAACCCCCTAAACCCCCGGAGCCCCCCTAAGCCCCGCGAAACGAAGACAGCTCTCGAGCCGACCTGCCCGGTGACATCGACTCCGCCGTTTTGATCACCGGCGCCTCGAAGACCTGGCTTCTTGGGGTTCTGAATCTGGATCAACCATGTGGGTATACTTCTCTAAAGATAAGGTCCCCCTTCTAGGGTCTTATGTTTTATAAGGGTGCCGTACTATTTTTTGGGGCTCATAAACAGGGCCCCCTAATTTACCAGGACTACCCATGTCCAGAACGCACTTTACCTGAAGAGCAGGACCGAGTGACCTTCGGTGAGCCGGCAACGTTCAACTGTCTACGACTTGCTCTAGCCTAGCGGAGAAACCGAACTAGAAGGCGCAGGGCCTGAAAAGTCAGGACAGAGAGAGTGCGGATGTGGACTAGATACTAGCATCGAGATGTGATGCTTCAAGTTTCAACATTTCAGCACATAGGCTTCGGGAATGTTCGGGTGATGTACGATGCGACCAACAAGGTGTGAGGAGCGGAACTTGTCATCCCGTCCGTTCCGATGAGGCCCTCCCCACCTCCCAGTCTGTCTGGACGACGTGTAGCCTTCCGCTGAGCGGCCATCAAGTTACAAAGGCCATCCAACGCCTACCGGGGAGCCTCGCCTTCTGGATGGACCGAAGGGCTGCACCTGCAAGCGCAATTCAAGGGGTCACCGGGGGTCTACGCTCGAATCGCGCCTGGCCTGCCGTGCGTTGCCGTGCACGCGGCCTCTCAGAACAAGGAGCCCGAGAATGCAAAAAGGCAGGGCTTCGCTGTTCTGCCTGCGAGCTGCGTCTCCTTCAGGAGGAACGACAGCCTTCTGAAAGCGGGGAATTCCAGGTGCGGAATCTCTGAAGATGCTTTGAGGCCAAAGCTGCTCAATATCGGAAGGCTGCGGATCACCTCTCCGAGCACATGCTCGAGCGCATCGCGACGTTACAGCTCGAGGTAGTTTGAGGCCCGGTCCCAGCACGAACCAGCGCACGTTGGGCGTGCAGGGAGGCCGAGGGACACTCCCTTCGTAGCCTTCAGAGGAGGCTTTGAGGCTCCTTCCAAAAGATACTACATTAGATCATCAAAGATTATGTATGTGTTCTGTTGTCAATCTTCCGAACAAGTCGGGCTGCTATATTACTGCTATATGCCATTACGAGGCTTCCTGGAGGCTTCTCTCTCTCTCTCTCTCTCGCTCTCTCCCTGAGCCGAGCGGCTGTAGAGGTCCTTGCGGCTGCCGATCACGGCCTCGAGCTCCAAGGCGGCGCTGTCCGAGTCCTCGTCTCAGCGCAAAAAAAAGAGCGGGCTACTGCTACTTTTGGGCTACTTACTTTTTGCAGGGCTCAGCTGGCTCTGGCTCTTCTCTTGTCTCTCTTTCGTTCTCTCTTTTGGTCGGGTCCTTGTTGGCGGCCAGGGCCTGGGAGAGCCACCTGCGGCGGACGCTTTAAACGCTCGCTTCTAAGCAGCCGCGGAAGCTATCAAAAGGCCTCACCAGCGAGGTGGCCGTGCCGTTCATCTCCCCCAGAAACACCGGAGAGGCGCGGAGCACGAAAAGGGACAGGGCCTGGGAAGAACGGAGCAGCTCACAAATGGGTCTCACAGACAATGTCCTAAGAAATCTCCACTGGACATGGGCGGCCAGGTTTTCGATCTCCAGCACAGTCAGTTCCTCAAGATGCAAGTTGGACCTGTGCCCAGTCCCACAAACCCTTCTTCACACCAGTTCTTTACATGTGATCACTAGAAGGGCTTGGGGCTCCTAGGCAAGGTAGGAATGCCCAAAAGGGTGCGTTCCTCACGGCATTTTACCCAAAGATCAAGCCGGGAAGGCCCTCCATGATGGCTTTGCCAACCTCTGATCCTGCATCCTGGGCCACCTCTTTGCACATGCCCTTCACCTCGTCCCTCAGCTCTTCGGCGACCACTTTGCCCACCTCGGACCCACGAGCCTTGGAGGGGCTCAGGACACCACCCATCTTCCGTGCGAGGCCACCGAACTTGGGGTTCCGGATGAAGGAGATGACGATCAGCTCAATCTGCATGCGGTTTGGATCGCACTCCTCTGTCGGCTTCATGTACTTCTTCAGCGCCAAGACGGTTGCCCGCAGGTCCTTCTCCAGGGCGTTGTTGACTGCGTAAGCATACATCAGCAGGCTCAAGTAGTCGGCGAAACACTCCCGCATCTGCTTGTTTGGGGCCTCTTGCACACACTCCTGCATCTTCTTGATCCCTTGGACGACCTCACGCTGGCTCAGATGCCCATCTTGATCCTGGTCAAAGTTCACCTCCAAGAAGTCCGACAAGAGGTTGCACAAGTCCACTTCATCCATGCCCTTCTCCATGAAAGCCTTGGCTCGAGCTTGAGCCTCAGCCTGCGCCTTGTCCTTCTGCATGGCATTTGCCACCTTCACGCCGAACTTGAGGCCTTTGTAGACCTGGTATCCCTCAAACAAGAGGAAAGCCCAGCTGATGGGATCCGCCATATTGCACAAGAGAGGAAGGCGCGTTCGTTTGTTTGGGTCACAATCAAGGCTGCTACTCCAAACGGCTGCTCGGTAAAGAACATTACTGCACAGGTCGAATTCCTGACTCAGCTGCAGTGAAAGACTCCGTGACCTCCGCAGTGGTGCCCTATCGAAGCTTCAGGCGTGTTTTTACGCTTTCTTGGGCGGCGGCCACTCGAAAGCCTGCAAAGCGACGCTTCTGAGCCGTGACAAGGCTCTTGACCTGAGGTCTCGAAGTCCAGGCTCGGGTTGCTTACGTCTTCCCTTGCCCTGGGGCGCCTTGCCTCCTCCTGCAGCCTGTCGGCATGCTGGGTCACCCCCTGGCCGGTCAGGGGTCTCTATCGAGGATCTGTCTTTCGCTTTGACACTGCGCTTGCGCTCACACTCATATACTTAAACACCGTAGGTAGACTGATGGAGGAGACCGCGACTCTCCGCCTTCATGTCCTGCTGGAGCAGCGTGCTGACCTGGGCAGAGCAAAGAGGGCTTAAACAGGGATTTTTAAATAACGAGCGCAGAGTCGCCCTGGAAACCAGCGGGCTCCCGGGCGGAGGCGATGTCCGCCTTGGCGGCGTCCACCCAGTCCTGGGCCTGCTGCGAGGCGCGGGAGCCTCAACGAGCAATGCGGGGCGGAGCCCAAAAGAAGCGTGGCTGGCAGTGGCTCAAAAGCAATCCCTCCGCGAGGCTCCGGCCCTCGGCGGAGTTGGCGGTCCAGGGCGTGGCCTCGCCGTTGAGCTGCTTCGAAAGTGTGGCCTCCCAAGGCGCTCTGGCTCTCAGAGCAGAGCCGTCTGAGCCCTCGCCCTCGCAGCCTGGGATCGCTCCAGCGCCGCGAAGCGGCTGTCCGAGTCCTCCAAGGCCTCGCAAAGCGCAGCGCAGCAGAGCTGACAAAACCTCAGAGAAGGTCTCGCTGCAAGGGGGATCCTCGAGGACCTGCTGCGTGTGCTGCAGGAGGGTGTCCGTGCGGCTCACGGGCATGGGGTCCTCAGAATCCCGTCGCAGACGGCTACACATCACGGCGACACCTCTGTGAGGTCGTTTCGAGGTGAGACCCCGGCGTGCCAGAGCTGCACCTCCAGGGCCCAGCTGGCCTTGCGCAGCGTGTGCTCGCTGGGGGCATGGACCTGATGCACGAAACAGTTTCGCCGCTCTCTCTTTCCTAACTTCTTACCGAGGGGGGAGGCCTCGATGGCCGAGAGCGAGTACTCGTCGAAGTCCCCGTAGCCACGGCCGATTTGCACCTGCGACGAGGCGAGAAGCTCTGCGTGGCGTTCCTAGGAGAGGAGTTGTCGCACTGTTCTGTGCCGCCTTCCCCACGGATCGCCCTGCTTTGAAGCGGATCCGAGGCACGCCATCCGGGTCCACGCCCGCCGATTCCACATCCTGGATGCGAGGCGATGCGAGGCTTGGCGGCTTGGGCGAGAGACTGTGTGCAATGTCATCTCTCTGGGTCTACGAAGTCTACGCTGTCCTGCAGCCTGAGGGGGCTGTAGAGCATGCGGATCTCGAAGTCGCCTGAGATCTTTTCGCAAGACCGAGGCCCTGTAAATCCGAGCAAAGCCGTCAGACCTCATCTTCCCAAGCAAGGTGCCCTTCTCCGCATGCTTGGGCTCAATGTCGATCGGGCTTTGAAAGTGGCCGACGCAGAGCTGCCCCCAGGAACTGTCCTCAACAACACACAACACTTGACCATGTTTTCTTCCCTCGCGAGACCTGGCCTGGCGCGTGTAGTCCCAGGAGCTCATGTCGGCAGCCTCTCTGCAAGGAAAGAGCTCCTAAACTTTTTTCCGATTATGGCTCCCTTAAGGCCTGGCTTAGCCATGCGAGGCCCACCAGCCGCAGCATGGCGCCAAGGCGGCTCACGTCCGATTCCGGCTTGGTTCCCAGGGCATTGAGAAAGTTGGAATGTTGGTGTGTCTGGCTCATCGGCAAACCAATCCAGGATAACGGGCTGAGGTTTGTATCACCGTGTGTGAGGTCGTCCGTTCGGCAGGCGTGCACATCACAGAGGAATTAAACCTGCTATGGATTGCGGCTATAGTGATTCTCAGATGGGTCGTACGGTAGTCGTAGACGGGCTTGGATGCTTCGTCGAAGCACTTGGGTTCAAGAGCCTTTTTGAGACCTGGGGCTTCTTTGTTCGATGGGAGGGGAGAACAAATGCGTCGACGCCTCGTCTTGAGACCCGACTAAGGCTGCGAGGCCGGCATGCAAGGGTTTTCTTGGCGGGATCTTGGAGGACGCCCTCTTCTTCCAAACATCCCCCAACATGCTGCCTCCTCCCCACCTGTGTTTATGGTCTAGTATCAACCTCCAAAACACGCTTCTTCCATAAGCATTGTTGAGTTGTAGAGAGTCCGTCTCGCCGCGTGCCTCCCACAGCCAGGCGGTCCACGAAGGCCGTGGTGGTCAAGCTGTTGGTCTCACCCCAGGTCCTGAGAGAAACCCGGCAGGGCTACTGGGCCACGAGTGGTTTCTGGTGGCTTGGAGGGCTCGGCTGAACCATTTTGGGCTTAGGGTTTTTTCAGGGTTTTGGGCTTTTGGGTCGGGAGAAGGCTGGCCCACGGAAGGCTGATGTTTGGGGGCTCTGGCAGCAGCATTTTTGCTCACACTCCGCGAAGGGCGCAGCACCTTGAACCTACAAAAGACCTAGTGCCAGACCTCGTGGCGGGTTCGCTTCGTTGGCGACCCTTTCCAAGGTGACAAGGGGCCCTGCTGCGAGGGCCATGGGTTCTGAGAGGCCTGTGAGAGTGGCTGCGGCGTGTCTTCGATGCGGAGCCGCAGAGCGCTGTCGGAGCGCACCTCGATCCATCCGCTCTTCGGTGGTTCCGTGGAGTCACCGGGGCAAAAGGCCCAACCTGGATGCTCCACGACAGCCGTATTCGCATGGCCGAGACGCCCCAGCCACCAACCCTGCCAGGAGACCCCTTCCCGATCATTGCGATCGTCCCAGAAGAAGAGGCAAACCTCCGGCTCTGTGACCACCTTCTTCCAGTAGATGGGCTTGCCGTGGTGTTCGTACCACTGCTTTGCATAGGTACCTGCCCGGAGCGCGCGGCGGGCCGTAAGTGTCTGAAAAAGCATAGTCTGTGCCCTTTTTTAACAAGGAGGCCTGCGACCAGGTTCCCCACGAAGCTGCGCTCGCCGACTTCCTCCACGTGGAGCAGGTACGGACAGCGTCTGGGAATGAAGGTCGGCGGAGAGCAGAAGCGCTCCTGCGATAAGCCGTGGCGAAAAAAAGAAAGGCACACAGAGAATGTAAGAGAGAGTGTGGCTAGTGACTAGGAGTGGGACAAGGAGTGGGACTAGGAGAGTGCAGAGTGTCGCCCGCCTCCACGGCACCGGCAAGCTTCTGCCCCAGGAGCTTGTAGCCGCTGTCCGCAAGATGGTGCTCATCACCTCAAGAGGCGGGGAGACGGCGGCAGGAGCCAGGGGATGCTGCAATGGCGGGCCAGAGCAAGAACAAAGGGCAAGATCTAGCACCAGAAACTGTTGCCGCGGCGGGGCACGCCAATGCTGAGGACTCAAGGATTGCAAGAAGCCGTCGAGGTCGATGCAGCTGCTCCCTTTCAGAGTCTCGTTCACTTGCTGGCAAGTCTGGTCAGCTTCTGGCCATGCCTGGCGTTCGGTTTCGTGCAGATACAGGGAACACTGGCAGACCTCCACACCTCGAAATTCCAGGTGCTTGCAGAGTTCTGAGAGTGTGCGGAGGATTTCAGAAGAGGGTTGGTCGTAGAGGTCATTACTCCCCACGCAGATGACAGCGACATCTAGCTCCTCCTCCTGTGGCTGCTCAGAGAGAGGCTGGAGGCGCTGCTCTTTCAAGGCTCTTGCTGGGTCGTACTTCCAGGAATAGCCCATTTTCGCCAGCTTGGCCATGTCCCTAAGCCGGCAGAGCCAGCACATGGAAAGCAGCGCCCTGGACCTTGTGCCTGGGAATCCTGCGAAGACGAAGTCCACCTGTACACCCTGCCCCAGTCGCTGTCGCAAACTCGCCTCCATGGCCCAGGCAGTGTGGGACTTGCGCACCCGATTCCCATCGCTCTTCTCATAAAGGTCCGTGACCCAGCTGTCCCCGATCAAAGCCACGCGCAAAGGCCGTGCCAGCCGCATCACCAGGAGTCTGCTAACGGGGCACCATGCAAACTCCAACCTTTCATGTCACGGCTCTCGAACCAGCCGGGCTGCGGAACTTCCATAGAGCGAGGCAAGACACAGAGGCACTGGAACCACCATCTGAACTCTATGATATTCAGCTCCGGGCGTGTACGGTTGATCCACGCCACCGACATACACACGGTATCCGGTCACCGGCACCTGCGCGGAATCGCTGTGGAGAATCGTGGGCGGAGGAGAAGAGGCCGGGGTGCAAGCGCGTAGTCAGGCGGACAGCAGGGCAGCCGTGTTTTAATCAATCGTCCGCGTCAGCAGACTGCCGGTGCCACATCTCCAAGAAGTCTGCCAAGCTCTGCAGCGCCTAAGACGACGCTTGTGGCCAGGCTGGGCCCCCCCAAGAGTTGTCTAAGCTCACATGCCGAGACTCCGTGTTGTGAATCGAGTGGTCCGCCGTCGGGAACTCGTGGAGCTGGAGAGCCGGAAGGACGGAGCCCATGTCCTCGGAGTGAAAGTCAAGTCCCCCCCTTCAAAAGGCTTGGGCCCTTTTTTCCCGTTCTCCCCGTGAATATGAAAAAACCCGGCCGGAGGCTCCTGCAAGCCGCCAGGCAGCGCCTCCCATTTGCAGACCGTTCCGGAAGGGCCTCAGGGCAAACAAACCGCGGAGAGGGGGAAGGGGGGGTGGGGGGGTGGAAAAGAAGCGCCGTGCGTGCCGGCTTCTCAGGCCTGCCACGCAGACGTGCACAGGGAAGTTCGCCACCCCGGACTGCGTCAGCGCTGCGATCTTCTGCCAGCACTCGTAACCTGCGGTCTTTGTCGCAGAGCGTCTCCCGAGCGATCCGGACTAAGATTCGGTCACCTTGCTCGGAGTTGAGGACGGTCTGCTTCGCGAGATACTGGGCGTGAGGATTGATGCAGCTCCAGACCTCGCTCTCTGCCGGGGCTCCCAGGGGCTCAGAAGAGACTCTCATGGGCTCTTTTGGGCGTGGGACGCCCTTGGTTCCTCGAGTGTAGACGCGAGGTGTGGAGCTGGTCCACCAGCCCTCCACCCGCTCCGCATCATAGCCTGAGCGAAAGGAAAAACCATTTCGAGGCCATCAATGGCCTTCCCTCATACACAGCACTCGAATGCCATTCCGGCCAGGAGCCGAAGGACATCAGCTCTTTCTTGGCCTCCTCCTGAGCTCTGCAAATCGTTCGAAGTCGTATAAAACCCACATGGACTGCAGCTGGGTTGCCCAAGATGGGAAGTCGCGGGAGAAAGTCTGTCTTTTCTCCAACTCCTCCCCTTCCAGCTTGGGATAGACGCGACGAGCGCAGTCCTTGTTTGCTGTCACTCAGCACTCTTGGAGTGCTCTTGACATCTTCTCCAGGCTGCCATATCTTCGATCACCAGAACGGAGAGGTCTTCGGGATAGTCAGCCGCATACCTCGGAAGCTCAACAAAGGGCTCGATGCACAGGCCCCCAGATCTGTTGAGAATAGCGCTGCATTGCGATCCGCCCGCCCATGCTGTGCCCCACAAGCACTACCGGGAGCTCCAGCACGCCGGCTGCCTCTACAAGACCAAGACCGTCTCTACACTCCAAAAGGTGACTCGGCCCGCCTTCAGCGTGGCGCGCACGTCGGCTGCCAACTGCTGCGGGGAGAAATCCTTGGGGTCTCCCAAGGGCGACTCACCGTGGCCTCTCACATGGAATGACACAAGGAATCCCCCACAAAAGCGTAAAAGGATAATTTGAAAGGGTTGCATACAAACTCTTGTGTACTTCCGTCACTCTCCGCTCCAGCCTCGCAAATCCACGGCCAGGGTCCGAATTCCCCGCCTGGCGAGCTCCTCCATCAAACCCTGCCAGGTGCCTGCCATCGACCCAAAGGCGCGCCTTCATGCGCAATGTACAGACAGACCCCACCTGACCAGGAATCCAGGCCGTGGATGAGCACCACCGTGCGGAGACCCTCAGCTCCGGCGCCGGCCGGCGCCGCCGGCGCCGCCGCCCCTTCGCGCGTCTGCAGGGGCACCACCCTCTCGGCCGGCGCGGCGGCGCAGCAGCAGCGCCCGCGGGCCTGAACCCGCCCGGCTTCCCAACGAAAACAAACACCAAAACAACAAAACGAAAGCCCAAGAACCCTGACACCCATAGGCCTCGTCTGTCTCCAAATCCTTCAAGAACCCAAACCTCCCCCTCCAGGCCCCAGACCGCCTCCACCGAGGTTGAGGCAAAGGCCGCCGCCGCCACAGCGGCCGCCAACAAGGGCTTCCTTACGCACAGAGAGAGAGAGAGAGAGAGAGAGAGAGAGAGAGACATATATATATATATATACAAAAGACATATAGCCATGTGTATATATATATATACACCTAACATATAGCTACATATGTATATGTTTATATATACACACGTACACATACACAAAAACACCTATCTATCTATATACACATATATATAGATATATATGTATATACATGCATGCTTGCAAACAGAAATCATAAATCATGGATATTGATAGCTGGATAGATAGGCTTAGAGACAGATAATGACAGACAGACAGACAGGCAGATAGATTGATAGACAGATAGATAGAAAGACAATCAGATAGTCAAAAGAAAGATGGATGAGAGATAGGCGGATAGATGGACAGATAGGGCCTTTAGGCCTGTTTAACATGTTGTAGGGTTGATCCTTTTCGCTTTGTCTTGCAGTAAGTTCCCTGCAATCAGCATCTCAGAGTCTGCAGAGCACGAGTACGGATTGCTCCGCTGCAGCTTATCTAATCGCCCCTTTTGCTTGCAGCCGGTCCTGCTCCGCACAGCGGTGGGCGCAGGCCATGGTTGCCGGAAGGCTCGCGGGACAGGGCCGCGGGTGGCGAAGCGCCTCCACATGGGCGAGGCCAGCGGCTTGGAGACGTACATGGAGCCACGGGCGGCGCTTGGGCGCAAGGGTGCAGACTTGATATGAGAGCAGACATAAATAACGGAATCAATGAGGACTTAGTCGGCACGGTCCAATGCCAGTCCAACAGAGGAAGTAGCGGCGGTAAGTCGACGCAATGGAATTATACGTGGAAGCGGAAGCTGCATCTTTCTTGAGACCTTCGTGGCTACGCAGCAGAGATTTGTACACTTTCACCGGCATGGTGGCCACAAGGTCAGCGCATCGCACTTGAGCGCGGAATCGGCACCCCTCCGTTGAGGTTGCTCGGCACGCCGTCCCAGGACAGTGTGATGCCACTGGCCTCCATTTACAAGATGGAGCCTTTGATGTGCTGGATAGCCTGTCGCTGCGACTTGGGGCAGCTGCCGACATGGCCGTGATCACCAGGTTGATGACCTTAGCTTCACTTTCCAATAACAAAGACTCTCAAGAGCTTTGTAAGTTTAGCGCCTTCGCAGGAGCCTCTGCGGCAACCACTGTCAGAGTGGACGTGCTCGGGGAGTTGCCTACCTTCATCAAATCCGCATCTGCGTGACCGTTGCCACAAGGCAAAGCTGGGTTGCAGGCACGCGAGGTTGCCCACACGCTGAAAGTGTAGGTCTGCGGCCAGGTATGCTTGAAACTTTCATGCAGAAGGAGTTCAGGAGTGGTCACGCTGCAGCACGCAAACCAAATTGATCCCCTTTCGAGCACGAGCCGGGTGGAAAGGCGCGTCTTGCGAACTACGCAAAGCAAGTTCTTGCGAAGGGCAAGCTAGTTGATACGCAAACGGCAGAAACGCCGAATCTGTCTGTATGATCAACCAAAGCGCAGCAAATTTGCACATGTTTCCACGTTCCTGCCGAGCAGCTTTAGCATGATGGGCCATGCTGCCTGACGCATGAACGGAAGATATGATACGCCCAATCATTCGGAATTCAAACCAACTCGCGTGACACCGCGGGGCAAGCACAGACTGTCACGGAGGCGGTAAGGAACCCAAGTGCAACAAACTTGCACATGTCTCCAGCTTCCCCCGCAGTGAATCTACCCGTCCCTTCCAAGCAGCTCTGGCACCGTGGAGCCATGCTGTCCGACACATGGACGGCAGAT